CTGTGTTGATTATGACACAATTCAAATGGTTGTGTCGCTTAACGAAGTGTGAATTTCTTCAAACAGCATTTATTATTTGAAATAGAAATCTTTTTTTTCTGCATGACAACTATGCATACAGTAGGGTGTATTTTCGGCATTATTTTTTGCAGTGTGGTGTCTGCTGAACTTCATGAAGCAATATAAAGATGTAACCTCGGTGCAATTTATCAACAATCTTATATATTAGAATCGATATAAGCTTCTCTAAAGCAACATTAAATTGTGGCATAAACTGCTTGTTCATTGTTTGGAAGAAAAAAGACATTGTGTTTGGGCTTGTTGCACATGAATACTTTCTCTTGAGTAAATCTGACTGAACCAAGACGAATAAGATGTATTAAGATAACTAAGATTGGATTGGATTCCATTTCTGTGTACATGAATAACTTTTTAGATGTTCATTTGGTCCTCCTCTTTGCAAAAAAATATATATATAAAAAAATAAGTGAGCATATTAAATGTTATTGGGTTTTAAATGAGTAAAAAATTCTTACTGACCAATGGGCAAAACCTCGGATAGTGGCACATTTTAAACATTTAAAATAATAACTAATTAGTATTTGGGGTGAAAGTAATTAGTTTAATATGTCTATAATTGATTTTTGTTGTAAATATGCCTGACGAGATTATTACACTGAATGATATTTTAGTGGCTCTCTTCTGTAAATCAGGGGAAAATGTATGATATTTATTTTTTGCTCGGAGAAACAAAAACAAAATTGCAATTAAATTAAACAGAAAACTTAAAAAAAAAAATTGGGAACAACAACAATTTAAAGCAGTATTACACTTATTGTTTTTATGCTTAAACCCTTTTTCGTCTTTGACCCGTATACATGGCGTTGACGTGTGGTGTAGAGGTCTGCACGGGCTTTAAACTGAAGCCCGAACCTGAGATCGTCCGACCCGAGCGGCACAGTTACATTTAGAGCCCGAACCCGAATTTTTTTATAATTTTTTTCCCACAACGAATAGCCAATTTGAAAAAATGCTGTATTTCACGATTTCATGCAATGGTCAGTTAGCAAATACATGTAAAGAAACAGAATCATTAAGGCTCGGCCAGTTCACAAGGCAAAAGAAAAAACACTTAGCAGTTATGAAAGTTTATGAACATCAGGTGCAGCGGTCACATAAATTCTGCCGAGTTTTTGAATGGTTGTATACGACAAGACGATAATTTTTCCATCGTGCAAATTATGCTCATTTTCGTCAGTTAAGGCTCGTTAGCATTCGGCCTGCATTAAATCAGACACAGAGATGCAGTGCGGTAAGATCGCATTTATTTGAATTAATTAATTATATCATTTATCTGAATTAGCGAGAGAGAGAGGGATGAAAGTTGCATGTGTGAACCTGCGTCTGCACGCCTCTCTCTACAAGCAATGAGGCTTAGTTCCTTCAAAAACAGCGATTTTACCCCCTCATTGCAGAGAAATATAAAGTTGCGAGTCAGTAGCCTGTCGAAGCTATTTTCCGTGCTGTGTTGTCGTGTGCACTAATGTGTGTGCGTGTGTCTAAGCAGTGTCGCCTACTGCATATAGTTTTAGTTTAGCTATAAACCCGAGCCCGATCCGAACCCGAAGCTATTCATTAAACTTTAACCCGGACCCGAAACCCGAAAGTATTTCGGGACCCGTCGGGCTCGGGTCGGGTAGCAGACCTCTAGTGTGGTGTGAAGCTGGCATAATTTACATTAGCTTTAGGGTTCTAAAGGTTCTCAGCTATGCACAATAAAAAAGTGGCAACAAGTAGTGTATGATTCAGTTAGTTCTTGTCTTGTGTTTCCAGCGGTGGAGTCCTGTGTAAACTCTGGAGCGCTATCACTGAGCACAGAACGACGGCGGGCTGAAGACGACAGCCACGTGCAATCCAGAGCAAATATCTAGTGGGATCAATTCAAGTCTTTGTGATGGTACAGATCACATGTAAATACGTGTTTTAACTTTTTTTTTTGTGTGTGTGTGCTGTCAAACGATTAATCGCGATTAATCGCATCCAACATAAAAGTGTTTGTTTACATAATATATGTGTGTGTACTGTGTACATTTATTATGTATATATAAATACACACACATACATGTATATATACATTTAAAAAATATTTACATGTGTGTGTGTGTGTGTGTGTATTTATATTCGTGTGTAATTTGTTATATATAAATATTAATATTTTGTATATCAACAAAACGTATATATATATATATATATATCACATTTGTGCACTTATGTCTATTTATTCGGCACAAACCTCCAAGACCTTTTTACATTTTGGAATGCTATTATTGTAGTTGAAATTGATGGCACTGCAAGTTTCTAGTTAAATCATAAAACAACATATAAATTCACATGTAATGACTTCATCTGGTCATTTCATTTCAGTGATTATTTTTTTGGTCAGTGCTAGGTCACGGGAGGGGGGAAAAACGTAGTTTATATATTTATATATGCATATACAGGGCTATGTAATGTGACAATCATGTAACGATAAGTTGGATATCTGTGGTAAATGTTTGCATGATCAGTGTTTTCATTCTAACTCTTTTGTGCAAATTGGAATTTGACTTTTGAAGTAAATAAAAACTTTGAAAAAATGTTTTCCTTCGTAATTCCAGCTTATATGACATTAGTGTTATTACATTTACGCTTGTTGTGTAAAGGTACGTTAATATGTTTCTGGTTACAACAGTCTCTGGGACACCTTATCTTTTCTTTATTTGCATAAACAAGGGTCCTCTAGGGTGAAAATCACAAGTTTAATGTCTTGAAAAGCAACAACACATCATTATGCACGACTGTATTACAAAGAGTGCAAGAAGAAGTTACTGCCAAACTCTTTAGCGCACTGACGATGCACTGGAATAAAAAAATATATATCAACATTGAGACGCACTGCAGTGATTTACAGGTCAAATATACTGAGTATCCTGACAAATAATTATATCAGTGGCTACTAAAACAATTACTATTTTTTTTAATTCATAGATAAGTGAAATAGTAATGATAATTTGTCATTATAAGCTGCTGTGTATAAATAAACACAATGCCGCTCTTAACTCTGAAACGCACAGCGCCACAGACAAAATAGGATTCTAATTATAATAATATCTTTAATTAAATCCCAACGTTTAGTTCGATGATCGCAATTTAATGAGATATTTCAGTTAATTGTGCAGCCTCATCTGTTTATTTTAATGTTACACTCCATTTAATTACTTATTAGCTTTTCATCAACTTGGAAATTCCCTCGTGAGCACCTGTTTGGTAAACCCTGCCTTGGGGCCATCATTAAATGTGTCCCGCTGATTGCTTAAGTGTTCCCTTGGGTTCTTAAAAAAGTAAGGCACCAAAACAGGTCCCTTAAAGGGACAGTTCACCCAAAAATTTAAATTCTGTCATCATTTACTCGCCCTCATGTCGGCATTCTCAAAGACTACTTTTTGTCAAGGTTTATATTTTTTTGTTGTTTTAAATGTTGATTTGAAGTGTAGCTTTTTGCATTATTATTACTACATTCGAACCTGAACACAGAAAGCAGTTTGTTACACAAAACATTAAAATTCTATAAAAAATGTAACAAAAATAAACAGGAATGCTTTATCAGAGCTTGATCCTTCTGGGTCTGATCTGATTTTAACCTCTTATTTCAGTCTTCTGACTCATTTTGGCTATATGGTTATAGCCATAACAATTCATTTGAGCAGGGGTGTGAAGTAACGAATTACAGATACTCACGTTACAGTAATTAAGTAGTTTTTATCAGTAATTGTACTTTTTTGAGTAGCTTAAAAATTGTGTACTTTTACTTTTACTTGAGTACATTTTAAGTGATATATCGGTACTTTTACTCCGCTATTTTCCTTCGTTTGTGGTCTCTCTCTCGCGTGCGTTCTGCAGCGGTCACTTGGATAAGTCGTTGTTGCTTGTGGAACTTGTTGACTTTTGATGAGTTTGAGCGCGTAATGCGTGCTGTGAAAAAGTGTGTTGGAAACCCAAATTGAGGACCAATCTGCACCTTATTGGCGTTAATATACTGCATCTGTGCCAGCGCGTGATGTAATAAAACTGCAGCTCGTTAATAAACTTTAAAAAAAGTTTTTTTTAGCCATTTTATACAATCCGCCTTCATTTAGCAAGTGCACTCTCGCATACACCATTTTTAAGTTCAACACTTTTTGTTCCATTCAGTTGTGTATGCTGCTGATTCACCGAGACCGCCGCGGCTCAGCAAAGAGACATGCGTGTGTGTGTATTCCCCAGAAATACTTCGCTATTTAATGCATTTTTCCTTACAAATTGTATTATCAGCATAACAATTTGAGTAAATGTGTGAAAGGTATGGCATGATGCCATCCTTCTAGAACAATGTGCATTTATGTTAAAATTGTAACATAAATGATCAAGTTTAGTTATTCTTATTTCTTTATTGCAAAACGCTAAAACTGGCACCGTTTTGGAGAGAAATGGGCTCTCATTTGAACCCATATCATGGTGTGTGATACTGAACTGAGTTTCTAATGGTGTTTGTATTTGCACTGTTCTAAATATTAATATTTTATGTGCAACAACAGCATGCTGTTTCAGTGGCCTTACACATGATTTTAAATCTATTTTTTCAAACTTTATGATTTAAATGGGGATGATTGTACTGAGGATAACTTTCATCTTTTCTTCAACTGAATACTGTTTCTGTGCTGTTTTGATGTATTTTAAGGAGTTGGCAGTCAAAATTAAAACTGCTGGATGATAGATATTCTTCATTCTTTATGACAAACAAGATAATGTGAATTACAGAATGTACAGCGTTTTTAAAATGTATCAATTGCGGTGTACAGCGTTTATTATGAGGGGGTAGAATCCACAGCTCAGTACTCACTACTCAATACTCATGAGTACTTTTAAATAGGCTACTCTTTTACTCTTCCTCAAGTAGTTTTTTGGACAAGTACTTTTACTCTACTCACACTACATTTTTGGGGAGGTAATGGTACTTTTACTTGAGTATATATTTTTCAGTACTCTTTCCACCACTGCATTTGAGTATGTATAATTCTGTATGTGTGTGTGTAAGGGGATGTATCTGTTTTACACTCTTGATGTTTTAGAGTGTAACCTCTTCCTTGCTGTCCACTTTTTTTCCACTGCATTGTAGTCGAATTATTAATTTTATTTTACGTAGTTGCAGTGTTACAGTCACACCAGTTCATAGGTGTGTGTGTGAGGGGTTTGTAGATTGTGTACACAAAAATGTTTGATGTATTTTTGATCCCCCCCCCATTTCCCATTCATTTCGTGTCGGTCATTTTTGACCGTAGACCATGAGTGTGACTATTTTTTTTACGACCACTTAGCTTTTTCGAATCATGCCCTCAATTTGTGCGTGTGTTCACATACCAAGTGCCATAAAAGTCACCAAGTTTCACCAAGACCGCACAAGGTTAAAGCCGTGTTGAGCAATGTATATTGTGAAAAGTGATACAAATGAAATGAATATATGAATAACTATGTTTACAAATTTTACACCCTTCTTTTTCTTCATTTAGTGTTTTTGCAGCTTTGCACTGATTTGAGGGCATGGCAGAGATCATGGTAGAAATGGCCTCTTCTATTGCTGCGCTTTCTATTGTAAGCAAGCTGTTACTAGAGAGCACATCCCAAAGAAAAGACCGTGAACCTGGACAAATATGTTGGTGCACTGCAGCTGAAGGAGGTGTGTATGAGAAAGCAGAACCACAAAAGAAGAGGAATCAGGCTTTACAGTGCAGTAGAAAGATCCCTGCAAAAGCGTCTTCTGAGACTGTGAAGAGAGCTGGATTCTGAGGAGGGCTTGTCTTCACTGAAGGGGTTTCTGCGAGGAGCATCTCAATGGAAATGGGGTTCAGCCAAGTCTCTCGACTGACTTAGTGTCTCATGGTTTCTCAGCCTGCACTTTCTCCAACGTTTAAATGTTTGAAGCATTGAAGCGATGCCACTTTTTAAGTCTCTAGTCTCTTACAAAGACAACAATAAAGAGTCATTTCTTTGTAAAAGGTGAGGATATATTTGACATGTTATTCCCAGGGGCAACCCTAATCAAACGCAGCTTGTTCATGCGTGTTTAATGAGATGTTTACAGGTTTGTTTATTTGTATTTTATTTTATTTTTTACAAAATCTGAATACAAGAAAAGTGGCATTAGGTAGCATACAAAAAAAAATGAATCTGGCATGGAAGGCTCAACACAACAGAGCCATATTAATTCCAGACAAAACATATAGCGTTACAAGAAACCCAATAAAACATCAAATGAAATAATAATATAAAGAAAATATAATTACAACACCTTATATAATACAAACAAATTAAACCGTTTCAGTGTCTCTTGATTTTTTCATTTTGCTAAGGGCATCTGAGAAATGTCTAAATGCATTAAACAAAGGAGGAGACTTCAAAGATCTGCATTTATGCATGAAGTGTTGTACCAAAGTTGTGACGTCACACCCGCGGCTCTTCGCACTGCGCATGCGCGTCCGTCCGGCGCATGTTGATGACACTGGCGCAACATGGCGGTGCTGCTGGAAACAACGCTTGGGGATATCGTGATCGATTTATACACAGAAGAGAGGCCGAAAGGTGATTAATAATAGCATTTATAACAGACGACGGGTTTAAACGTACCTTGTATGACACACGCATGATCATTTAATACAATCAAGAACGCTACATGTGATAAACATGGTATATATCGTTCCTACAGAAAGCAAGGTACTGAACGATAACCAGAGTTGTTCTTCTAATTTGCAGCGTCGCTGAACTTCCTGAAACTGTGCAAAATCAAGTATTACAACTACTGTCTGGTTCACAATGTTCAGGTAATCTCTTGCATTCTGTGAGCATTGCAGATGTCATGTTACACCTTTATAATATCATATTTGTTAAAGATTTTAGGTTTATTTCCTTTAAAGCCATTATTAGGTCATGCACAAAATGCTCGCATTTCAATTGGAAGTACAATTTTGAGTTCTGAGAGTTACACTCCTGGTAAAATTGCGTTATGGTATGATAATGCATGTAATGCAGCGTTATTGCACACATGGCTGCAAGCTGAGGTTGTGTGAGGCAGTGAGGTTAGCATATGAAGATGCTGCATCTGTTGCATCCCCCGCTGCAGAGAGATTTCATCATTCAGACGGGTGACCCCACCGGCACGGGGCGAGGAGGAGAGTCTGTGTTCTGGTGGGGATCATTAATGCATTCATTTAATTAAATATTATCTGTGCTAGCTGAATGCACATGCGTGTATTGTGTGGTGACGATGTCTGTGTGTTTGTAGCAAGCTGTATGGCGACCAGGCACACGTTTTTGAACCTGAGAAGATGCCTAGGATCAAGCATAGAAAGAAGGGGACGGTGTCTATGGTGAACAATGGCAGCGACCAGCATGGCTCTCAGGTTAGTTGTGAACACATTTAATACACAAGTGTCACTGTCAGTATTGTTTATGGGCTTTGAGTATGATTGATTAGTTATTGTTTTCATTTGGTTCCCAGTTTCTGATCACCACAGCAGAGAATCTGGATTATCTGGATGGTGTTCACACTGTGTTTGGAGAGGTCTCGGAGGGTATGGACGTGCTTGCTAAAATCAATGAGACCTTTGTAGACAGCGACTTCATCCCTTACCAGGACATCAGGTAGGACAACGTTTTTAGAGAGCGAGAGACTGACCCACACCATTTTTTTTATTATATGATATGATAACTGAGATCCTGTCAGAAAATATCCCTTCTGTCTGGTAACAGAACTAGAGGTCGACCGATACTGGATTTTGCCGATACCGATAGCTAGGTTGGACCACACTGGCCGATACCGATTAATGAACCGATAGTTTTAAAATTGATACTGAACAAAAACTAAAATAGTGCTTTATTAACAAAAACAGTACTGAACCTTAGTAGTAGTACTGAAAATAATAATAATAATAGTAATAGTAAATGTTGAAATTAACGCATTCTAACAAAGAACAATACTTACACAGCTTTCATTAATCTTAATGCTACAAATGGACTCTTATTTTAAAGTGTTACCATTTCATTTCAACTGTCATGCTTAAAGATGCACATCTTTAAATATATACACAAAGGCTATAGCATTAAAATTATATACATATGGATATTGTATGTATACCCTCACACTTTAACTGCTTCTATTCTTGAACACTTGATGATTATCTAATCAAAATAAAAGTGCAGCGCTGAGTCTAGGAGAACTCACCGGTATCACACACACTCCGCGTTCAACTCGAGCAGCGGTCTAAAACAGTTTATTTAATCACCAAACGGACACAAGTTTACTTCAAGAATGAACAATGAGGTATAGAGGAGTTTGAAGTTCAGTGTTTAAAAAACGGAGCAAACGGAAAGAGAAAGCGCGACCGATATTATAGCTCTGTAAATGAAGCACACAGACTTTATTAGAGCCACAGAAAGACAAACGCTTTGCTGAAAATGCACAATACACAATTCATTATGTACATTAACAACGATTCGGGACCAATATAATGTAATTTAAAGGAAAGCTATGTGAATGGCGCTCTGTGGCGCGGCAGGATTTTCTGTCGGGATTTTCTGCAGGATCACGTGTCTAAACAAGTAGCATGTGCGGTCAGTGATTTTAACCACTAGAGGCCGCTTCTCGCACCGCGTAATGACAGCAGACCCTTCTCAGACGCTCTAGCAAACTATTGGCATGGATTTTTGCCGATAACCGATAGTTCCAGCAATCAACTATCGGTGCCGATTAATCGGCAAAACCGATACATCGGTCGACCTCTAAACAGAACCACTAGTCAGCAAATTTGTCTCATAACCAAAACCTGTTAACAGCAAGTCTTGTCTGGCACCCAAAATATCCAAAACTGTATTAACAGTCTTCTATCAGCCAAGAAGTTGACTGAGCGAAGCCAGTGAAGAGCAGAAGCAGGAGATGAAGTGATGATGATTAAAAAAAAGCCCCTGCACGATTAAACTAAATCTGTTACGAATAAAGTGTAAAGTGTCGATTGCTGCATTCAATTTAGATTTGCTCATGTTGCATCCTATTTCTTTTTACACTTTCTTACAGCGTTGCGCATTATAACCAATCACACACGATTCCGTTGAGTGTATGAGTGCAATACATGACACCCATATCTGGTACTTGCATGAAAAGACGGTTTTGTGATGTTTGTAGTTTATATATTACACGAATATTAGGCTACTTTTAGCCTTACCCTGGAGTTGGCTTACCCTGCGCCTATGGGAGCAGAGTTTATTATTCATATAGTGTTTGAGTTAGTAAGTTCAAATTTGTGTCTGTGAATCGTTCAAGAGTCTATTTCAGTTGTGATTCAAAACGTTGATTCAGCAGTTGGTTTGTGTCATCACACATGTTTTACTTTTAAACAGCAGTTAATAGAGAGGATGTGTTAATATTGGGGAAGGTACATTATAAACACAGTGTTGCCATTTTCTCGGTTTTTGCACCAAACAAAGCCACGGCAGAATTACCTGTTGCATGTCTTCAAACAACTCACAGTAGTGACCTTCCAGAATTAATCTGTGTTTTAAAGGAGACATATTATGCCCCTTTTTACAATATGTAATATACAGTAAGACTCTAGTGTCCCCAGAATGTGTGTGTGAAGTTTCAGCTCAAAGTACCCCACAGATAATTTATTATATCATTTTGAAAATGCCTATTTTGAGTGGAAGCAGAAACTAGCTGTTTTTCGTGCCTGTATCTTTAAATGCAAATGAGCTGCTGCTCCCCCGCCCCCTTTTCTAGAATAGAGCTGCGCCTTTACAGCTCGGGCCTGCTAAAAACATCTGTTTTGGTTCTGATTATCATGTTTATCGTGTTGAAATCATGCGTTTTAAACCATATGAGTTTAAACTTCTGATATACGGTTTTCTGAGCGCACACATCCGAAGCACACGCACAGAAAGCGGCTGTCACAGCATGCGAGTACTAAACTAATTTCTCATGCACACACAAGTTTGTTAAAAACACACACGAGTTACAAAAACAGTCGGTTATGTATGGGATGATATTAGGCTCAAAATGATTAAAAGATGCACGCACAATTATCCATGTACTGCATAAATTTTATACATGTATCTTACTAACCACAAACAGATACCTTTCAATTTGATTCTGTGGAATTCAGGATTAAATGATTGTGCAGGGATTTGTATAAATACAGACATGTTTGCAAATAAAAATGTTCTGTTCTGCATTAATATATCATAAATTGCTCATGCAAAAAGGAAGCCGTGCATATGTGGATCAGGTGACACGCGTGCATTAATTGACGTCTAGTTCGAGTCAATCTTGTTCGGTTCATTTGGATTTTGAGACTTAATTTTCGCAGTTACAGCATTTCACGTCCCCCCCCCCCACACAACTACCAACGAACAAGGCCCAGTGCAATTCATTAATGTGTACACGATTTGAAAAATTCGCAAATGTGCGTCACTACACTGAAACAAATGCTTTTCTACCGGTGTCTGCAGAGTTAAGAATTACATTCATGTGCAGCATTTTGTTCAAATAGAGACATATTTGTGAATACAAATGTTACAGTTTGTATTAAAGTATCATAATCTGTGCATGTAGCGATTAAAATGTGCATTTGTGGATCAGGCGACGCGCGTGCATTCATTCACGTCCCTTCTGAGTCGATTCTATTTGATTAATTTGTATTTTGAGACTTTCGTTTCTGTAAACTGCGAAAATGAAGTTTCAAAATCCAAATGAATTTATACAAATCCCTGCACAATCATTTAATCCTGAATTCCACAGACTCAAATTGAAAGGTATCTGTTTGTGGTTAGTAAGATACATGTATAAAATGTATGCAGTACATGGATAACTGTGCGTGCATCTATTAATCATTTTGAGCCTAATATCATCCCATAGTTATGTCTGTGAAGGTAAACAGCTGGGAAATAAATAGCATGTTTATTTTAGATCTGTGTGGCAGCAGCAATATACAGTAAATAAATCAATAAACCCACTGCTCTGTTGTCTCCTCTGAGGCTGGGACTCTAAACAGTGTTCTGTGCTCGTCTGTTCAGCCAAACACAGAACAGTTAGCATGCTTCGCTCAAACTTTCTCCATGACATTAGAGCTGGTACACCGTTGTCGCTTGTGAAATCACAATGATGGCGCTGTGGGTGGACACTTACAGATGAAGGGGCGGTAATATTATAATGAGATCCCTTTGCCGCGTCACCAAGGGAGTGAAATCAGATGCGCTGGTTTTCTTGCAGAAAAAGGCTTCCCAAAACAAAGTTACCAGGTTAATCTTTTTCAGGTTTCCTTGGTTGGTAGATGCACCGGGGACCCGATTATAGCACTTAAAACCTAGAAAAGTCAGATTTTTCATGATATTTGTCTTTTTTCTCTATCAAATCTTTTAGTAATCATCATATATCATTTGAATATATCAATAGAAGTAATATTGACAGAGAAATCTAGACATTTGTGTCAGAAAAATGCATTTAAAAAAATTCAATGGAGTTTGGATGGCACCCGGTGGCTGTTTGTGGTATAACGCCCTAAATAAAATCGCACAGGAGCCTCAATTTTTTTCATATCAACTTCAAATTTGGAACATAACTTATTTAGACATAAGGCTATAATTTTATACCAATTTTAGAGTAAAAGCTGATATGTAAAATATTTATTATATATAAAATAAAATTAATATAGTGCATTTTCTTTATAGTAAATTTAAACTACTATAACTTTTTGATACTTAATTTTTTTTTGACAAAATTCCACTTTTTCGATAATTTACTGATTTTTTCTTTAAAAAGAGACCAACCGTATGTCTGTATTCCAAAGTGTTCATAAATTACAACAATTTAAGTTTGGATAGTGCACCTGTATGCCTATTTTAAAAAATGGGGGGGGGGTGACAGTTAAGGGGTTAAAAGTGCTCTGTTCTTCATTCTAATGTGAATAATCCACGCTTGCGCGTTTTTTCAGAGTGGTCGGATTGGAGCAGATGAGGTGATAAACGATGAAGAGGGGAGAGACGCTGAGGAGCTGGATGAACAGATAAAGGACAAGGAAGCAAAGACGCAAGCCATTTTACTAGAGATGGTAAATTTCATCACTTACACATTAACACATAACATATAACTTCAACTTGTATTTATTTATATAGCACATTTAAGGGCAACTTTGTTGCCCAAAGCGCTTCACAAACATTAAGAATAAAAATCAAACACACACACATAACTTACACACAAATAAAACCCTACTTCAAAAGCCAGACTAAAAAAAATGTGTCTTCAACTGAGACCTAAAATCCTCTATAGAAGATATAAACACACAGACATCACTCACTGTGGACATCTCTTTCATGATCTGAACGTTTGTTTCTTGTTAAAGGTGGGCGATCTGCCAGACGCAGATATTAAACCTCCAGAGAACGTGCTGTTTGTGTGCAAGCTGAACCCAGTGACCACAGATGAAGATCTAGAGATCATCTTCTCACGTTTCGGAGCCATTAAATGGTGAGATAATAGAAAATGTCCCCGCTGTATTACTTCCAATGGTAGTCTGACTCATAGTTGTGGTTAAACAGTGTGGGTAATGATTAGGGCTGTTCACTGACCACATGTTTGGACCTCTGCAAGGGTTGCTCCAAGAGCTCTCTTAAACAAAGCATTTAACTGGGGACTTTGTTCTTTTCCCGTTATGCACACTCTCTCATTAAATGTCACATTAATTTCACATTTTTTTAGTTTAGGGAGCAGTTCTCACTATTAACCAGTTGCTTCTTAGCCTGCATATTACTAGCATATGGAGTGTTTATTAGTACTTGTAAGGGTGCCTTATTCTGCATGAGCATATTTTAGATCCCTTAATCCGACCGCATACCTAAACTTAACAACTACCTTGCTAACTATTAATAAGCAGCACCTTAGGAGTTTATTGAGGCAAAATCATAGTTAATTGTTTAGTTAAGAGTGAGAATTGGACCCCAAACTAATGTGTGACATTTTATAAACAGACTTGAAGTGTATAAGCACAGTAAAAGTCTTTTTTTGTGCGCAGGTGTTATTCTGACTATGCCATATGTTTATTTTTTTATGCATTTGTTTATTAATTTCATCCTGCAACACATTCTGCTGGTACAGTTTTAGCAGTAGGCTGTATGTATGGAGTGTCATAACTGTGTGGAATACTGTATCCCACAATGCAGTGTGCTCGTCATGACCTTCCAAATATTTCATTTGAACTGGAAATAATATCAACTTCTTGAGTGCACAACACTGCATAAAAAATGCTTTACTTCTGAGATAGGATGCAACCAGCTGAATGAAACATGCAGCATAAAGAGGTTATGTGACTGTGAAGGCCACTAAAATACTGCTGTTTGAATATTGTTTCACATAGTTGTTTAATAGTAGGCACTAGGTAGAGTGTCATGTCTAGTGAGCAAGTGCTAGTATTAAGTTCTGACCATAGCTTGTGCCTTAATCTTACTGTGTGTGTGTGTGTATATGACTTTGATCTGACATGTTAATGTTCATTTGCAGTTGTGAGATCATCAGAGACTGGAAAACAGAAGAATCCTTGTGCTATGCTTTCATTGAGTTTGAAAAGGTTTGTAAAGTCTGTTCTGTGTATCTGCCATCTTTGGAAAAAAAAAGTGCAAAGTTTCTGAGCAAGCTGTTAAAATCCAGCTGCCAAGTTTTGAAAAGTTAGACAAGAATGGTTACGCAGAAGTTATACATCCAAATTCGCATGCGCACATTTTTAATACTAAATATAGATATTTCTAAGTTTTGCGCAGTTGTAGTCCATAGATGCATATCCTGATGAAACCTAGGTATATTCAGAACTGCAAGTGGTGTTAAGCAAGGCCTGTGTGTAATAATGCTGCATCAGCTCCACACATCCCTTCAAATGTTCATAACTTCTAGATCATCAAACATCTAGTAAAATTCAACAGTCATGAAATCAGGGTTTTTTTTCCGGTGCACTTATCTTAGTACGTTTTTATTTTTTCCCCCATCAAGACGTAAGTCATAATGTAGATATAAATAGTCATTTTCTATGCTGGATTTAGTCTGATTTGAAGGCTCTGTTAAAAGGGGCGTGTCTGCAATGGAAACGCCCACTGCTATGATTGGCTAGCATCTTTGCATATGAAATGAGCATTACATAGGGAACTCTCTCAAAGTTTTACTGCGTTTTAACTATGACGGCTGCCGAGATGAACTAATGGTGAAAAGTGTTGATTGCAGCATTATATTTAGAGCTACTCCTGTTGCATCAAAGGCTGCACTGCTGCACTGTAGTCGGACACAGTCACGTCGACCGAGCACACAATGCAATGCCACAAATATTTTCATCATAACTAACACCGTGAAAGCACAGTGTAAGTAAGAGGCTCGTTGAGCAGTGTTATCTGTGTCATCACAGCAGAAATCAAATCGCTGATATACTCGCGATGTTCCAGCAATTATAAAAAACACAATCTTTGATCACTTTCTGTTTAAAAATTTTTTTTAGAATTGTCTGCATTTAATTTCGTCACTAATAAGCATATCAAGCTCAGACCTTAATCACTAGTCTGCAAAATAAAACCTGGTACGGTGATTAAGCCCCTGAATCAAAGTGGAGGAGCCTTGTATCACCCTGAAAAGGGTTTATTTTGCATTTATTGGCCTCCTTTTAAAATGAATTGAAAAGTAAGTGTCTTGGCGAGGTCCTTGCACGTTCAGGGCAAAAGCGTGGTCGGTCATTTTGAAATGATGAATGCATTTGTGTATTATTTGATAAGGTGGAGGATTGTGAGAAAGCGTACTTCAAAATGGACAATGTCCTGATAGATGACCGTCGCATTCATGTGGACTTCAGCCAGTCAGTGTCTAAGATCAAATGGAAAGGCAAAGGTGAGTCTGTGCCCGTTCATATAAAAGCATCACCTGTGAAGTAATGAAAATATAAGCAATTTCTGCTGAATTTTACTGTACCGCTCAGTCTTTCTTGTTTATCTACATGCTAAATGTTAACGATAGTGAATCAAAATGATATACAAAGCTTTTAATGCAACTAAATCTAGTGTATAAAACAGATAGTTCCGGTCCTTGATTCTGATTGGCTGAGCCACGTTCGATGCTGTTGTAAATTACTCTACAAACACTTACATTTGTTTACTTCTGTGTGTTGCTCTGCAACCACTTTATTGCAACCACAACTGTTTCTGAGGAGCTACATTGTTTGGTGGAAGAATACTGTTTTTATTAATATCATTACTCTTTATTTGCTCTGCTCGTGCCTAACAACGCCCCTTAGCTGTTAAATTCACTGTAAACCACGGCTTCTTGAGGCTTATTGCTTTAGTGTACAGTAGTTAATATATTGGATAAAGAGTGGTTTTATTGTCAGTATGTCTCGTTTCTAGGTGGGAAGTACACCAAGGAAGATTTTAAGGCCTACGAGAAAGACCTGGACAACAAATCCAAACTGGCTTTGAAAGACAATGTCAAAAGCAAGCAGGAGTATCCTTCTGATAATCTCTTTACGTTTAAATCATACTTGGACAATTGGACTTCACTTTGTAGCATTGGCACTTTAGATTTTAAATTCTCCAAAAAGCCTACGTGATGCTTTGCAGAGATGGTTTGGCTTGAATCACAGGTTTAGTATTTAGTTGTTACCCATTATTGCGTTGTTTTAATTTTTGTCAAAAATTCAATATGCTGTGTACTGCATTTTGATTAAATGCATTGCAAATAGTTCTCCTCTGGAATAACAACATGCACTTGATGAATCATTTACAGTAAGACCAGAAACATGTGTTAGAAAGGCTAAGAGGGTCCAGTTTGATTTGAAGTCTGTGTCCTAAAGTGGTTATCCAAAAAAGTTCAAGTCAGTATTTCTTGACTGTCTCCTAAAGCTCCCGTTATGAGCTTCTCTTAGATGAAGATGAGGATGAGAGACGGAAGGACGACAGAGAGAAAAGAGACCGGAAACGGCATTCAGACGAGAGGCCCAAGGACAAAAAGTCAAAGGTACAATGCTGTGGATTTGAATAGATGGCAGGTTTTGCTCCAGGCGCCAGATTTGACTTTTGGACATCAAATGATGTCCCTATGAGTCCCCGTGGCACAGCTGCCCACCAGAGAGTGAAAGGAAATGAATGGGATCCTATGGCATCCTCTAAGAGGGATTTGAGAACCAAAAAAATTGGCTTTTGTAAGTGTCTTACTGGACCATTTGGCTATACGAGAATATCAGGCTCAGCCGCATGACCCAGCCTCTTTTTTATAAAACAGTCAGTACTTTTATCAGCCCAAGAGGCAGGCAAACAGCAGGAAGCAGGAGATAGTGATGGTAAACATGAGCTTATTGTTTATTGAATAATCTTTGCTTTGGGTTGATCATTGAGGAAGACACAACAATGGAAAATTTCTGCTTCACAACATTGTGCCGTGATGTTAAAAAAACCTCGAGATGGAGACATTCACTTATCTCCAGCTGACATGTGAGGGCAACATAGCACACGACATTAGATGATTTAAATAATAATAAATAATTTATGCATTTAGCAGATTTTTTTTTTTTACCAGTATGTGTGTTCCCTAGGAATCGAACCCACAACCTTTTGCGCAATGCTCTACCACTGAGCCACAGGAACACAGTTGTTTGTTGCAGTTTTCTGTGAAATAGGAGAAGGATCTGCCGCCCGCAGCTGATTTTGATATTCTAGGTATTATCAAATGGCCAGAGTTTTGAGATCGATGAAGGACTATAATGCGATATGAGCTCGCTCAAGTACTGAGGAGCTAAACCATTCAGGGCTTTATAAGTAATTAGCAAGATTTGAAAATGTATTCGTTGTTCAATAGGGAGCCAGTGCAAATATGGACATACTTCCTGGTTCTAGTAAGATCTCTAGCTGCTGCATTTTGCCCGTTAAAGCATAACAATAATCTAACCTTGAGGTCATGAACGCATGAATTAACGTTTCTGCATTTGCCATTGAGAGCATAGGTGGTAATTTAGATATATTTTTGAGATGGAAAAATGCGGTTTTACAAATACTAGAAACGTGGCTTTCGAAAGGAAAGATTGCGATCACACACCTATGTTCCTAACCGATGACGAGGAATGAACAGTCCTGTCCTAAACACAATTGAAAGTCTTGAGGATGTGCTGGAGTCCACATTACAGAGTGGCTCTACTCTCCCATTGTCAATACAAGATCTCAGACAAAGATTAATGCAACTCTTGATGGAAATAAATGCTGGGATGTTGACACAATGAATGCACAATTTCATCAAAGCTAAATGTTGTCCAGCAAAATACTAGAGAGTGCGATTTGTATAAATTTTTTTTGCACGGCATTGTAAAGTAAACTCCAGCAGCACGTCCCGAAGATATATAGTGGGGTTTATCTCTGCACGATCTCTCACAGTTTGAGCCATTTACATTGCTATATTGACATTATGTATAGATTGAAACATTTGTAATGCTTAATCTCTGGGTGTATGGTCACTATGGGCCTCTCAAAAAGAGCGCTGGCTTCTTTTGTGTGCGCCATTGTCCTTGTAACACGGTATGTAAATAATTGATCATTGCTCTTTTTTTTATTGTTGCTCTTGGCAGCCAGTAATTTGTTGCACATAACACGTGGTCAGCACAAACCACATCAATCCTCATTGCAATTGAACCTGTATTTATTGTGGTCTGCTCTTGTCATGCAGTTTGGCAGATGGCAGGGACGTTGATTGGGCACACAACCATTGATGCCAATTTCAAACCTGTTAAGCTTATTTAATTTGCTATCTTAACTATACATGGTTATAAAGTTAGTTGTGATTATTTGCATTTAGCATAGTTTTTCCCATCAGAACAAACATGCATCCCATTTATGGGTAACCACTGGTATAACCGTTGCTTTATCAGGGAAAGGAATGTTTTTTTTTTATGTTCATTATGTAGAAATTCTCTATATTTGCAAATCCGTTACTAAAAATCGGTCTCGTTTTTCTGGGAACAGCCTTCTCCGTGTCTCATCATTTGTTTTCGTTTTTTTTACTCCTGCTTTTATAGGATCGTGATGAGAGTCGGAGAGAAAAGGATAAAGGCAGACAGCGTTCACGTTCAAGAGAGCGAGAGAGACACAAGGAGCGCGAGAGGGGCTGGGACAAGGGAAGAGAGAAGGAGAAACAGAGAGACCGAGGCAGAGAGAGAGACGGCGAGCACAAACGCTACAGAAGAGATCGCAGCCGCAGTCGCAGCCCTAAGAGATCAAAGTATTACAGCTGACCACCATAACTGTTACTGTGTGTCAACAGAGCGGGTTTCCTAAGAACTTCCTGATTTCAACTGTGAACGATGTTAAAAAACACCTTATGATTCATTTTTTACATGTAAAGTCAAATCTGTCCATTTGTTTGCAAATCTAGGCAATGTTTGTGAAGTTCTAAAAGGTTTGTGGAGTTGTTGATGCATATATATATGGACTGCAGGTGGAGGTGAAAATGGAATAAAATCAGTGACAGAGTTGTGCTCAGCTAAGACTGTCATGCAATTGAGTCGTTACAAGTGAACTCATTTCTTGTTGGTTAAGACGTTTCGACAGAAATATTTCAGCATTTATAACTGAACTTCAGTGGTGAGCTGTCTGGCACTGTACAAATCCTACTGTGGTGAAGGCTTAGCTCATGAATATTAATCTGGGTGAATTCATGCAAAGGGGGCCACTTTATATTACATTTGTGATTAACCCAGATGTTCCTTTCCTTTTCTTTATTATCTTTGAGATTCAGCTGTAATATTTTCATTTGAATTCACAGCATTTTGATGAAAGTCAAATTAAAAAAAGTGACTAACACATGCAACTAATAGGCTAAGAAAAAACGAAAGAAGAAAATGTTATTGTCAAACCTTATAAAGCTGTATTTCACTTCTCGCATACTTTTTTTTTAAACTCCAGATTCAACTTCATGCATCGCCAACCTCTGCACTTCTGCTCTTTCCTTTCTCCATATCTGACTTGAATTTCCGATCCACTCACTCATTTGTTTTTTAAAGCGTTAATTATATAGAATAGTCAGTGAATGTCAGATTATTTAATGAATGCGAGTAGAATTAGGGACGGTTCAAGGTTGCCCACTTTATCGAGCACATTCAGTGGGCCAGCAATATTCAACCACCTTGCAAGAAAAACTACAATTACCAGGGTTTTATTGCATCAGCCAAAACTACTTTATCATTTGAAGAAAGCGTGTCCCTTGGATTGAAGATCATTGTTATGCTCTGAAGGTGTAAACTCATTGAGCACAGCACAGTCGAGCTTAAATGGCCCACTAAAAATGAAGTGAGTTTACAATTAAATTGAACCAATATCTGCCAGTGGGCTCAAAAAAAAAATCTAACTTGTTCAAAGGGAAAACATGTTTTCTTTCCCCAATGACACATTTGTTATTTTTATTTTATTTTTAGTCATTTAGCAGACGCTTTTATCCAAAGCGACTTACAAATGAGGACAATAAAAGCAGTCAAAACTAACAAAAGAGCAACAATATATAAGTCTCGGTTAGCCTAACGCAGTACACGTAGCAAAGAAAAACAAGTAGAATAGAAAAAATAGCTAGTGATTTAGCAGACACTTTTATCCAAAGCGACTTACAAATGAGGACAATAAAAGCAGTCAAAACTAACAAAAGAGCAACAATATAGTGCAAATGACAAGTCTCGGTTAGACTAACGCAGTACACATAGCAAAGAAAAACAAGTAGAATAGAAAAAATAGCTAGTGTTTTTTTTTTTGTTTGTTTTTTTAAATCAAAATAAAAAATTAGATAAAGTAGAATTAAAATAGACTAGAATGTGTTAGAGTTAGAGGGTCAAATAAGTGAAAGTGATGTGACATGTGGCCAAGTATGGTGACCCATACTCAGAATTAGTGCTCTGTATTTATCCCATCCAAAATACACACACACACACACACACAATTCACTCCCACCACCTACAATCCCTGCCGGTACAAGACTCGAACCCACAACCTTTAGGTTATGAGTCTGACTCTAACCATTAGGCCACGACTTCCCCCTATGACTTGGACACCTCACCTCTCCAAGATACCTTGAAGGACCTATCTGAGAGGTAAGACTCAAACTACTGGCGTGCGGTTCCTGAGATGCCATTTTCCAGTAGGGTTGACAGGAGAATCTGGTGGCTCACCGTTATCAAAAGCAGCAGACAGATCCAGCAAAATAAGTGTAGAAGATTTTTTTGTTCTTGTTTTAAACACTAAATTTTGTCCGATTCAGAAAACAAGACTTCATATTTCCAGTTTGCATCTTAAGTAAATGTATATTGATTAAAGGAAGTTTAGATATTGGTACTGAAAATAAATAAATATGAGATTATTTTTTGCAGTGTATGCATAATATGTCATGACTTTATGTTCTGGTTTATCCCCTGGTTTCAAAGACGAGGCTTAAGCCTAGTCCTAGACTAAAATGTAAGTCTGAGCCGTTTAAACTGAAAGAAACTTGCACGGATTGCTCTTAAAATATATCAGTGCCCTTGTTTTGTCTCAAGATGCACACAAGTAATGCTTTTTTCCAAGTCATGTTTATAAAAATTACTTGAATGGCCTAATCCTGGCTTAGTCCAAGCACCGTCTGTGAAACCAGGCTTAAGACTTTTTAAGGCCTTTATGAATTTAAGGAAGGGTGAATTACGACTTTCAATTTACACAAGTTACCTTATTTTACCTTTCATAATGTGGGTCTTATAAATGTCTTAAATAAATAGTTGATAACATTTTTAAACTTAAAATGTACCATAAAATAAAACATTACATTTTCAATCTGAATCCACTTAACCCAGCCAAATATCATATTGGTATACAGCAGCGCATTCTAGGGAATGCACAAAAACTTAATAAAATAAAATCAAAAGTACTCAGCTGATGGTTATTAACTTTATTGAAAGCATCAAGCTCTTAGTACAGATATATTTAGCACATCTTGACCAACCAAGGAAATGGCAAGAGAATTGGAACAGCAAAGTTTCCCCTTCCTTCCCAACTTCCTGTGAAAGTCCCACGACAGAATCCTTTCTAAAGAGTTGTCTTACCAACCAACAACACAGGCTAGCAAGAACTAATAGAAAGAGGAAAACAGGTCCAAATCATCTGAAAAGGTCACTCCCCAGCTCAGAACAGGGTTAGAAAAATGTGTTTATATATATCCTTGGTCCGCAACATCAATGTCTCCCCCCTCCACTCATGTATAATGTATAAATCCCACATATAAAGACCAGAAGAATGTTTGAAACTACCACCCCTTCACTGAAAAAGTACTAGGTGCGATAAGCGATCATGCTCATGTTATTTCTCCCAGCAGTGGTCCACATCAGACACCTATAGTGTCTGTTAAATCAAACTGAATTGCTTTGTTTTTTCGCATTTAAAGAGACATAACAGAAACATCATCCTCCTCATAACTCGGGATCTCCATCAGCACGAGGGTGGATGAAAAATAATTGAGCAAAGTCTGTTACATCGTACGATCAGAAATGAAACACGGTAATGTTACAAAGGGCTGAAGCGGAGACACGCTAGTCGCATGCAAGAGCACATGTGAGGGCATGATCTGGAGAGGTGTACAAATCTACTGCAAAAAAATATATAATTAAAACTGCACTTTATGCAGGTGTGGGGTGTGGAATGATCCGGGTCAGCCCTGACATGCTCAGATCAGTGCGTGCCTATTGTGTGGAAACTGTAGAGAAAAAGACAGAGAACTCGTTTGGTTTAGAAAAAGAAAAATGCTTTGCTGTGCGATCGGCACACGAAAGCAAAGCGTCTGTCCAACGGTTTCAATTCAAAGCAGGCTCTGCGCTGGACAGCCCCAGGGTCCTTCACAATGACGGAAGGCAAACACCATTCCCTCTCTCTCACACACACACGTAATGGCTTCTTCTACACTTGCTACATTATTCAGAAAAATCCATTCTTCTATATAACACATCGTCACCTTTCAACTAACTAATGTTTTTTTTTTTTTAATACAGGCCATTTTATTTGAGGAAAGGAAGACAACAGTTAACTTTCACCGTAATGGCTATATATTGCAGATTATATGTTGTTAACACACAAGGCAACAATTAAGTAACTCGTCTTTTGAAACATTCACTTCTCTGGTACCATCTAACGAGCGTATTACTCAAACGAGAGATGCGTTTTCCAAAACGTTCTCTAAAATCAGAGCAGGCTCTCGACATTGAAGGTGACGGTTAAGCTACTCGCATTCACTTCTCTAGCACACCGGATAAAGACAGCCGTCTGCAGGGTTAAAGAAAAGACGACGGACGAGGAATACTTTAGGTTTGTCTTCAGGATATCTTCACAGTCACAGAAAAGTTAGCTAGCTATACACAGTTGAGCTGAACACACACACATTGAAAATGAGTTGCGATTTAAATAACCAACGCCCAAAAAAAAACCTTTTTCGCAAACCGATAAAAAGACGTTGCTTTTGGATTGGTCGGGAGAGGAGACAGATCTGAGCGTGTCAGGGTCCTTGTCTAGTGAGGTCGGAAACCCTGTCTGTGGGGGATGCGAGGGGACACTTGCAGGAAGGGAAGGGAGCATTGCATGTACTGGGATGATGGCGTGACATGCCTCACACACACCACCGCCACGTTCAAGAGCTCTACATGCACTTCAAGATCACAGCAAGAATGGGCTAGAATATCTACAGAGACACGAGAAGAGCTTTCATGCACGATATCTACGTCACAGGTACAGGTATGCATAAATGTTAAACTCGGGGAAGATCTACAGCCGGAAGACTCCACGCACAAACGCCGCCAGCCGCACGATTTCTTTTTACGCTTCTTCATTTCGGAGGTTCAGCTCTGCTTCTGCTGGCGGCTCTTGGCGTAACTGGTGAAGACGAAGTTGTAGTCGTTGAAGTGCGCCGACTGGCGGTCCAGGAGGCGGTAACCCTCCAGCTTCTGAGCCGAAGTGAAAACGCTGCGACATTTGGAGCTCTGTTGGGAACGAGAAGGATGAGTGTGAATGCTCCAAATCACAATGTCAACACTGGAAGCCACTGACGGCTAGTTCAGATCATGCATCTGAAGTGTGGAAGCTGCCAATCAGAGCTAGGCTTCAGCAACAATAAATACAACCAAACACCGACTTTGCAGTTATTTTTAGAACATCAAAACAATTTGATACCACATATGTGACCCTGCACCACAAAACCAGTCATATGGGTCAATTTTTTTAAATTGAGATTTATACATATGAAAGCTGAATAAATAAGCTTTCATTGGTGTATGGTTTGTTAGGATCGGACAATATTTGGCTGAGATACAACTATTTGAAAATCTGGAATCTGAGGGTGCAAAAGAATCTAAATATTGAGAAAATCATCTTTAAAGTTGTCCAAATGAAGTTCTTAGCAATGCATATTACTAATCAAACATTAAGTTTTGATATATTTACGGTAGGAAATTTACAAAATATCTTCATGGCACATGATCTTTACTGAATATCCTAATGATTTTTGGCATAAAAGAGAAATGTATAATTGTGACCCATACAATGTATTGTTGGCTATTGCTACAAATATCCCCCAGCGACTTAACACTGCTTTTGTGCTGCAGCGTCACATGTGCATTAGTACTATTAGTGCTGTCAAAACGATTACTTGCAATTAATCGCATCCAAAATAAAAGTTTTTGTTTACATAATGTGTATGTGTGCGGTGTATATTTATCATTTATATATAAATACACACACATGCATGTACATATTTCAGAAAAATAGGTTATGTTTATATATTAAATATATTTATTTATAATATCAATTATATGAATATAAATAGACATGTAAATAAACACACATACAGTATATATTTTGAAAATATTTGCATGTATACATATGCATAGAACACATGCAAACAAAAACTTTTATTTTGTATGCGATTAATCGTTTGAGAGCACTAGTAAATATGCAGAGCAATCAATTCACAAGTAATAATTAGTGCTGTCGAACGATTAATTGCATCCAAAATATACGTTTTTGTTTACATAATGTGTGAACTGTGTATATTTATTATGTATATAAATACACACACGCATATTTAAAATGTTTTGTTTATATATAAAATATTAATATATATAATATAAATTATATTTGAATATAAATATATATTTACATGTAGGCATTTTTTTTAAATATATAGACATGCATGTTTGTGTATTTATACATAAATATACACCGTACACACACATATCATGTAAACATCAACTTATGTTGGATGTGATTAATCGCGATTAATCGTTTGACCGCACTAATGTACTACTAATTATTAATTATTGCAGACACTGATAAGTTGCGTAACAATGTACCTGATTGACGAAAAGCGTGGTCACAAATTTCCCTGGTTTGAAGACATCCACGACTTTGTGGATAAGCTCGTCGTAAGACGTCTGGGAGAGGTTGGTTTCAAAGCTGACATAGGAGAACTCCGGTTCGGGGGTGATGTGAATCGTCCAGTAAGTTCCCTAGAAAGACAACCCATCTCAATCACGCTGCAGAACACAGAGCAACTTCCTCACAAAGAAACACCCAGCTTTAAATGTCTCCTCACATCCGTTTTCATTCCATTCATGGAGTATCCACAAGGGTTGAACATTGTGGCATCAATCACTGAACCTGGAATCAGGTCACGAATTCCACTCATCTGTGAAGACACCACAGATAAACATTGAAGACACCCGCGCAAAAAACGACTGCGGTGTGCATGTGCATAAACCATGGTACTGATGATTATCAAAGTTCTAACACGGCACATTCGGTGCTTTCTGAATTGTGAGCCTGGAGCACAAAAGCAGTGTTAAGTCGCTGGGGTATATTTGTAGCAATAGCCAACAATACA